TCTAGGTCATACTGCGGCGGCTGCCGAGCCATTAAAACAGTTGCTCAGACGAACACAGGCTTAGAAAGAGAGTTCTTCAGGACACACCACACACACACACACACACACACACATATATATATATATATATATATATATATATATATATATATATATATATATATACATAAATATATATATATATATATATATATATTGTTTATTCGTTCACAATGACGCAGCTCAACAATTGAACCTTGCGGCTCAAGCTATTTGTCCGTAGCCTCGTGGGTCAGGAACGCTGTCCCCGTTTCCTTGTTGATGGAGTTATCAACCCGGTCCCCACTTCAGCTGTCCATCGGACCATCAGTGGATGGCGTCCATGCCTCTTCTGCGGTACCACGGCATGCCCTAACTGACAACATGCTACCACTTCGCAGAAAGAATACGCACGGGCTCCTATCCATTGCGAATGTTGTTGAAGCTTCCCACAGCCTGCATTCCTTAGCCAGTGCTCTTCCTACATACGGGCCGCAACTGAGTGCCGTCCAGTCTTCCCTGCTACGGGAACTACTTCCGACTCGGCTAACGTGATCCCTGTCTCGGCAGGCTTCATCCCTAACAGCGCCGTTACCTGCGGCGTATCATCGTGTGGCTCCGCGGCACGATCAATGCCTTAAGAGCATCGCACTCGGCGTTGTTTCCTGCCGTCCTGCCGGGATTGAGTACCACCGACACCATGCTTGACTTAGCCGCCTCACATGACCTCGAGGCCAGCCCGCCCGAGCAACGCAGACAGCTTCGGGATGCTCTCATGCAGCTCTCGGACCAGCTAGGCAGCTTCGCGTTGGCACTTTCGGCATTTTCACCCGCTGTCCCAATGTCGCATGTCGTCGCCCAAATACCGGAGTTCCACGGCTTCGCAAACGACGCGGACAACTGGGTGGCGACCATCAACACTACAGCAGTGCGTGAGGCCTGGACGAAGCCTCAAAAGTGGTCCGTGGCTGTAGACCGCCTTCAATATAATGCTGCAGCGTGGCATCGGTACGAAGGTATGCAACGCCAGTGCTGGACAGACTGGAGCTCCGAGCTTATAGCAGTCCTCGGCCGAACTCTCGGTGTCTTGAGCACGTTAGAGACTTTCACCGTGGACGGAGCTCAGTATTGGCACCACCTCGAGATTGAAAGGGTTCGTTCCAGTTCATCAACGCAATACATCGATGAGTTTGCTGCTGCTGACACTAACAACAGTGACCACAGTCCTCCTCTGCAGGTCCTGGACTCTGCATCGGTATTAGACCCGGAATTACTACCACCAGACCTTCCTCAGGAGATGCCGCCCTCGTGCTCTTCGTCATCTGAGGACGTGTAGGCGCTCACCTCTCTCGGGCCAGACACCACCGAACCCTACCAGACCACGTGCACGATCGTCAATAACACAATGTACGGTGTCAATTTTTATGAAAGGGACCACAGCGACGCGTGGCATGCGCGCTCCGGCGGCTTCTGGCAGAGCATTCAAGCGGGAGCGAGAGCAACCACAGTCTTTTTTGGCATCATCGCTAGGCAAGCAAAACAACCATTCGTTGTCTGATAAATAACCAGCGGCAAAATTGCGACCTCCTCCCCCTTCAAGGCGGTTACGCGAGAGCTGGTAATCGCCTTGAAGGGGAAGGGGTTACGATCTTGACGTTCTATATCAGCAACGAATGATGGTTTTGCTCACCGCGAGATGACGTGAAAAGAGATTGTGGTTGCTATCACTCCCGCTTGAACGCGCTTCCAGCAGCCGCCGGAGCGCGCATGCCACGCGTTGTCGTGGTTCCTTTCATAAAAATTGACACTGTACTCTTTACCACTTCACAAGTAGGCCTTTCTGAGGATGTGAACAAGATGAGCCTTAACCAGACACAGCCATGTTTGCAGAAGCCCCGACATTAATTTCCTAAAACACACAGACGCTCAGTCATGGAAATACTGGGTTCTCGAGGCATGTGTCCTTCCAAAAAAAACCAAGGTTATTGCCATTGAGAAGATGTCGCGGAATAACTCTCCTACTGTTACTTCCCTGAACACCGTGTGTACACGTGATAATTCGCCACAAGCCACCGACTCAACCATCTCCAAGAGTTCTGTTGCGAGATTAGCGCCCGACCAAGAGCTGCATCCCATCTCATGTCAAGAAATGGCTCATGCGTTCACACGGATGGTTTACAGAGCATCCGTCTGCAGCTCAACCCACCAGCGGCAGCGGGACAGACACCAGCGTTTCCGGGTTTGTCTCCAACCTTGCCAAAACAGTCAGTATCGCCCGCCAGAACCATCGTCGAGATTTAAGGCTACGCCTTTTCATGGGCCAGAACACAAAACTCGAGCACTACGAAACGTCCTAATCTGCACGCTAGAAAAGAACGAGAGAGCTTCTCTTGATTTTCCACAGCGCGGCCAAGGTTGTCAACCGCCACGGCACAGCCAATGGCATTTACCAAAGCCATCATCGAGAGATGTCTATGCCGAATGCCAGTGTGGCTGAGGCTGACCACTGCGAGGCCGACCACAAGACTCACTTGCAGATCCACCAGACAACTCGCAGCGTATCCGGGACCGACCACCACGATTCAGCCAGTGCCGGCCACCAGAAGCATCAACGGCATCTCCGCACGCTATAAAGTCATGGACATCTTTCAAGAGGCTACAAAAAAGTAGAATTAAGTCAAGTATAAAATATTTACAACAGCTTTGCACCAGTGCCGTGAAGCCTGAACGAAGTGCTTATCTTGGTGGCCATCTTCATTTCTTTCTATTGTTATATTTGCCCATTTTTTGTATCCCCTCTATGATGCTTTCTGTGGTTTCTATGGTGTTTCTACGGTTTCTCTCTCTTCCCGCTGAAAGTAATAGGTACGAATGAGTTATGTTAGCGGAGAATGTCCGCAACACATTGTTAGGGCTACCTGAGCTGTAATTACAAACTGTAATTATAAACCGCCTGCGTGGAGCACAGGTGTTTTACACTTTACATTCTTAATTGTCTTCGTAAGCAATAACAAACCAGATATGGGGAGAGTGAGTGATTGAGTGAGGTAAACAACTATGTTAGGTCTACAATAGACGTGAGTTAACTCAGCGTCACCTGTCTAGGCCCACTCGGGGAAGGTCAAGTTAAACTTGACCACTCTCGGGCAGGCCCTCTAAACGGCCAGGATTTGAGAAGTGAGGTCCTGGACCTTATTGACCTTGTTGATTTCCTCTTGATGGAAAGGCAAACCGGCAAAGGCACAGCCCCACAGGACATGCTCAATGTCAGAATAACCACCACACAATGGGCAACACGGGCTTGAGAACCATTCGGGGTATATTGTGTGCACTGCCACAGGGCTCCGGTAGGTTCCTATTTGGAGCAGTCTGAGAGTAACAGCTAGGGCGTTGCACAGCGAGGACTGTAGCAAGAGCAGAACTTATCTTAAAAGGTAATTGTCCTTGCAAATCTCCTTGTAGGTGCAGAGAGGCTCGGATCACCCAGGAGATGACGCGTTCCCCCCCGGCTTGCGGCCAGTCAAACCTCGTGCAGCTAGCCGAGCGCACCTCCTTGTTTGGATTGATCGAAGCACCCTCAATGGTTCAAATGTGTGCAGAAAACCAGACCAGTGAATGATTTTTGAGTGATAGCATTCTTGGAGTCTGAATAAATTGGGTCATACACACCGTCCATCAATGTAAGAACAATGCCAACTTCTGTGCAACGCTGGATCTAGATGTGCGGATGGTAGCACAGCTGTTTACTTCGGAATCACAGTCAACGACCACTGTCGAGAATGCTTCTTTCTGAGCGTACGAAGCGGCATTTACGAAGCAGACTTGTTCCTTAAAAATGGGCACTGGTGAGCAGAGCTTTACCCCTTGCTCGTCTTCATGCTGCGTTGAAGGTTAGATGCATATCACGTGGCATCCACTGTATGAAAATCTTGGATTTTGCTTTATTGGGCAGCTTCACAGCATCAAGACCGACTACTGCGGGGTTGCGTCCCAGCATGCCTAGTGTGACCCTACATGCAGGAGTACCGGAAACTCTGACACACTGTGAAACTCTTCGCATTCAGGCAATTTCTCACAATGCGCTGTGGATTCCCAGCTTCAGGAGGCCATCTGTGTGCGTTCGGATGGGAATGCCAAAAGCCATCTTGAAAATTATTCTGATTATGGCATTGATCTTGTTGCGCCCCGAAACGAGGCAGTTGTGCGTAGCTGCCGTATAAGGAAGGTGGCGCAGCAAAAGTACGTGAATAATCCGGCTCAGACTGTCCTCTTTGATTCCTCGTTGCCTGTTAGCAATTATTCTCATGACCCCGAAGGCGCTCTTGGTCTTGGAACAAATGCGCTTGATGGAGGCTCCATTAACTACATTGGACTCAATAAACATTCTGATTACTCTGGTGGTGTCCACGCGCGAAACTCGAGAGCCGTTACCGGTAAATAACCGGATGTGGCTCTCTGTTTCTGGCTTCAAAGACCAGTGATAACCACCTATGGGCTTCTTATAGAGTAAGAGGTCGGAAATAGCGGGTGAGCACTGTAGGCTAAATGGGTTGAGATAGTGCTCAGTCACATTGCTGGCCTGCTGCAAAGCGCTCTTGATCTGACTCGCACATCTGCTGGGGCACCATGGTCATGTCATCAGCATATATTGTGTGGTTAATAATCGGTATCTTGTTCAATGCCCGGGACAGGTTGACCATGCAAATATTGAAGAGTATCGGGGAGATCACCGTGCTCTGAAGTTTCCCCTTGGACCCAACGTTAATTGTGCGTAAAAAACCTTTCAATCTTGAGTCTTGTGGACCTCGAGGAAAAAAAAGCGCGCACAAAATTGTACGTCCGTTTCCCGACGTGAAGTTGAGCCAAGCTCTTCGGAATAGAGGAACGCGATACGTTGTCATTTTTTTTTCTAAGCCGAGAATTGTCTTAGTGTCAACGGAGCCGGAGTCAATGAACTAGGGCTTGATGAGCTTCATGGCGTCCTAAGCCGAGAGTCCCGACCTGGAGACAATCAGGTTGTGCGTGTAGCATTCGTTGTATTCAAGGTGTTCAGTGAGACGGTTCAGCATGATGTGATCAACCAGCTCCCCGACGGACGACTTCAGTGAGATTGGCCTGAGGTTCTTGATGCTTGGCGCCTTACCCGGCTTGGGTATCAGTACTGTGCAGGCCAGTTTTCAGCTCTTAGGAATGAGACCACGTACTCTGCCACACTTTGTCAATTTTGTCTGTAAAACAATTGATGTAATGATCGTCGAGGTCCTTGAGCATTTTGTTGGTTATCCCGTCGAGTACATTGGTAGATGTGGCGTTGAGGGATGCGAGAACCTGTTTGACCTCAGTCTCGGTGAAATCCTCGTCCATCGATGGCACGTTGCGCTCCTCATATAGCGTGGAAATTGAGGAGAAACCGGATCGTGCGCGGTAGTAATGTACTTGAATGTGAGCTGTTTCATTATCTCTTAATTTTAGTAGAGTCGGTGGGTAAATTAACATATTGCATCAACGCTTTATGCTCATTAGATTTAGTGTTGCCATCATGTCGTAGGTGCTTGAGGAGTCTCCAGCTTTTACCGGTTTTGAGCTGACCTTCCATAGAGTCAGAGAGCTCATCCCATTGCTGCATGCTTCCAAGATTTCACATTGCAATGACCCTCTACTGTTTCGTTGATTGAGGATAATTTCTTACGTAGTTTTATATTATTCACAACTTTCAGCGACTATAGGGGGCACCACGAGAAAACCGAAATGACTGGCATTGCGGCGATCACTTGCATGCACCGAGCCTTCGTCGCAGGTGTTGTCACTGCACTGTCACTGCCACTTGCAGCTAGAATAATTTCCCACGGCACCGAAATTCCCGTGAAGGAAGCAGCTCATGATTGAGCGCACAAAGTGCAGGACACGCGGTATGCTCTTGTGCCAGGATACGGCGTCCGACGTGGTGGTGCAGTAGCCGGTTCGGTTATGTTTCGTCGTACGGGGCGGTCATATCGGGCATCCAGACTGCATCAAATTTGACAGATTTTTGTCATCTGCTCAGTCCAGCGAACGCGGCCGAATATATCCCCAACAGTAAACAGCACCCCCTAGAGGTAACGTGGAGTCGCCTGTACTGTAGATTGTTTCTTTACCCCTACAATCATTGTGGCCGGGGATCCCGAGGCATTTACCAATAGTGGTGTTAACGCTGGTATGAAAAAGATAAGCTAAAACGGTTTCATTGTGCAAACTAATTCATCTAATACAGACATGCTAAAATGGGCCCCTTATTCAAAACAGCGTCGGCTTACAAGCTACAAGTCAAATCGGGATCTACGATAATAAGGCATCTCGCAGGTAAACACGCGACACTGCAGGCCATCTCCCCCAACCGGCTTACTAAATTTCTTCCATCTCTGCTCTTCGTATTGATGTTGTCAAGAAAACTCCTTGCGTATGTAGATGCAGGCATAAAACTACAAATCTCCCTCATGTTACTAAAATTTGAGCGCCCTCGGAAAGCTTGCGCTCAATTGCGGACGGCAGTGGCGTCTGCACAGCTGCTTCTCGCATGTGTCAATTGCGGCGAGATTTGTCAAGTGTTTTTTGCTGGCGAAAGCTTGGTTGTATTAGCGGTATTATTGTAAACAAACTGAAAAGCAAGAGGACTTAAATGTTTGTCTCAGGATTGCTATATAATAATAGTTGTGGTTGAACGTCTCAAAACCACCATGAGATTATAAAAGACGCCGTAGTGGAGGGCTCCAAATATTTTGACCACCTGGGTCCTTTAAGGTGCACCTAAATCTTGTCACACGAGCCCCAGGCATTTTAGCCTCCATCAAAAAAGCGGCTGGGATTCGATCCCGCGACTTGCGGATCTGCAGCCGAGTGCCTTAGCCACTGGAGCACCATGGCAAGTAGCACCCACTGTAGTAGTAATATTACGCTAAGTGCCGTGCTGTTGAATTCGGTGGCTTCGATTGCCGGCCTCGGCGGCGGAATTTTAATAAGAATAAATGCAAAGGAACAACCGTGGACTTAAATTTAGGAGCACTTTAAGGAACCCCAAGTGATGAAAATGAATCTCCAGTTAATCGCACCAGCATGTGTCGGCCTGTCATGCTTTTCTTAAGTAAAACCGAAGCGATTCTGTTCCGTCCCAGATGTCAGCCGATTTCAAGTGCACGTTGGTAACTAAAAAGTTGACAAGTTTCACAAAGCACAGTTTGATAGCCCGTTTCTTTTTCCGTCGCCAGCCAAAAATAAAACCAAGCACGCTTATGACGCCTTTCATGGTCAATTAGGAGCATTAAAGCCCGCAACCCATGCGATTTACCCTGTATTATACGCCTATTATTGAAACTGGAAGGTTCAACAACCTTGTGCCATCAATATCTATCGTACTTCAGTTCCCACACGCGCAGAAGTTGTGGGACATGATGACGATGAAGCATGGCTCGCGCGTTGTCACCAGGAAAGTTTTCATTCTATCACCACATCACGGCTATCGTCGGTTGCCACGCGGCGGTGCCACCATAGCTGAAAGTTGTTGATTGATATGCGGCGTTCAACGTCCCAAAACCACCATATGATTATGAGAGACACCGTAGTGAGGGCTCCGGAAATTGCGACCACCTTGGGTTCTTTAACGTGCACCCAAATCTGAGCACACAGGAGTACAGCATTTTTGTCTCCATTGAAACTGCAGCCGCCTCAGCCAAGATTTTATCCCGCAACCTGTGGCGCTAGTCACACCTTCTTTTAACCCGTCACACCAAGAATCCTGGTACACCTTCGAAGGGTTGGCGCGCTCGGAGCGGTTGGCTCGAAACAAGTCCCAGTCGACGAATTCGAAGTTTTTCGTCATGTTATTACAGGCAAACCAGACGACTACTTTGACGATGCAATGATCGCTACTGAGGTCCATAGCTGTGTTTGTTCATGTGACAGTTTCCAGACTTTTGACAAAGGTGAGATCCGGGGTAGTATCTCGGTCTACCGAGTTACCTCTCCTCATCGGGAAATTTTTATTGGTTATTAGGTAAAGATCTTTGTCCGGTGCCGTATGGTAAAAATTTGTCCCCTCCCTCGTATTCATTTAGTAGCCCCACGCCTGATATTAGGCATCGAAGTCCCCCATGACGACAAGAAGTTGATAGCCAGCACAGTGCACGGCCTTTTGGAGAATACCACCAGCCCTAGAGCTTTCTGTAAGCTGACATAGGCGAATGAAAATTTTCCCAGCATACCCCGTGTGCACCTATCGCAACTTTCGTTTACCCCAATCATCTCGGTCAGCCCTTCTGTTGCGTGCCCATATATATATATATATATATATATATATATATATATATAAGGAAAGACGTGTATACCTAAGGGATCGTTTTCCGTGTTTTTACACAAAACTATTGAGATCTAACAGACAATAATGCCAAGGAAACTATAGGGAAACATTTTAGACCAAATTGTTATGTAAAGATGAAGAAAAGTGGGTGAAAAGATAACTTGCCGTGGGCAGGATCCAAACCTGCGACCTTCGAATGACGCGTTCGATGCTCTACCACTGAGCTACCAAGACAGCTATCCCCCCAGCCACTTTATAGGGTTTATATGTGAATTAAACGTGGGAGTGTCAGTCAGCGCCACCAGTAGCCATGGCGGCGGGTGTAGCACACTCTTTTGAGTTTGTTTGTCGTCACGTAGCACGTGAACTTGTTACGAGTGGGCAGCTGACCAATAGCATCTCGTATACAGCCTAAAGGCACTAAGTCTGCCAGTACGAGACCCTCGTTAATGAATAAGGAAAGAAGTGTATACCTAAGGGCTCGTTTTTTCGTGTTTTTGCACAATATTAATGAGATCTAACAGACAATAATGCCAAGGAAAGTATAGGAGAAGATATTAGACCAAATTGTTATGTAAAGATGAGAAAAAGATGTAGAGAGAAAGAAGACAGAGACAGGAAGCGCAAAAATAAAGAAAAAAGAGAATACACACCACACACACACACACACACACACACACACACACACACACACATATATATATATATATATATATATATATATATATAAGGGAAAGAGGTGTATACCTAAGGGCTCGTTTTTCCGTGTTTTAACACAATATTAATGAGATCTAACAGACAGTAATGCAAAAGAATGTACAGGGGAAGTTATTAGAACCAAAGGAGTGTAAATAAGAAGAAAGAAAAGTGGAAGAAAAATAACCAGCCGTGAGCAGGAATCGAACCTACGACCTTCGACTAACGCGTTCGATGCTCTAACCACTGAGCTACCACAGCGGTCTTCCCTCCATCCACTTTTTTGGGTTTATATGTGAATTTAGAAGTAGGAGTGACAATCAGTGCCATCTATAAGCCAAGGTTCCAATAACTTCCCCTGTACATTCCTTGGCATTACTCTCTGTTAGATCTCATTATATATATATATATATTCTCTTTTTTTCTATTTTTTCGCTTCCTGTCTCTGTCTTCTTTCTCTCTACATCTTTTTCGCTCCATCTTTTTCTCTTTTTTCTATGCTGTGCTTTTTTTCTTCCATTATTTCTTTTGATCCTCCTCCCTTCATAGCTCTCCTCAACAACCAAAATTTCCTTTCCCATCACCTTTTTATACCATACTATACTTTGCTGTACTGTACAATAATATATATTGGGCTATCTTATATCACGGCCGCTCAATTATGTTCTGTTGCGTGCATAGATAGCCGAGTGGCCACGATGCTCGCCTGCGGATTGTCGATACGGGGGTTCGGATCGCACCTCGGCAAGAACTTTTATTGTGATAGCAATTTTATGGACACTCTCAGGTGGATTTTGCTGCCGACGTCGGCATCGATGTCATGCACCATACATGTATACATATCTACATATATATAAGAACAAAAAAAGGAAAAAAAATCCAAAAAAAAAAGAATTAGCCGCGCGGAATCAAACGGGTGAGCTCTGCGTCGTGAAAGCGAGGCGTTAACCACTGAGCCAACCCGGTGAACGTTCCTCACTGTTAAAACGGCAAGGTATTTATATCTACCGCTTACCGCTGCTGTGTTTTCGGCATTACCTGAAAGATGGCGCAATGAGCTCACGTCGCCCCATCGCGCAGCGGCGCCCACTGTAATCTCCTGCGCGTACTTTGCCCGGCTTAGAGAAGGGGAGCTA